TCTCCTTCTCGTAATGGAGATTTCTCGGTCGCTATCAGATATTAGACTCAGGGGTGCGCAAAATTTCATTGCGCTCCACGCCGGATCGTCTGACCCCTCCATACAGCCTCAGCAAAATTTCTGATATTACCTCTCAGCGCACCTTTTTCTTCCTATAATTTTGTTTGAAAGTAAAGTTACTCCTTAGCAGCGGAGGGATTAATATTTAATGTGTTCGCACTTCGGTGCTTTGCATATCGGAGGAAAAGTAAAACGCGAGCGAAAGAGTGAAGGGCCCTTCGTGTCTTGTGCACCCCTGGTTCATACGGCTGAACCGTGACGTTAATGCGATCGAAAATCGAATCCTTCTTATTTACAAGACTGTGCCGTATTTTTGCTAATTTTTTTTCTCGAGAGTCGCTTCCTAATTTTTCTCGATAGCGGATTCGCTCGATGATTTAAATAATCTCTCTATTTTGATCGTATCGATTAATTTCACTCAGCACGTACGATAATCATGGCGACCAAATATCCTACATTACGGTATAACATTTCTTCTTTTTCTTTGAGATTCTCACTGATTCACTTTTTTTTTTAGTGATAAAGTTCACTCGCTGAAGCGCATCCAGAATTTTTTTTGGCAGGCCACAATCATCGTTACTATGATATTGATTGATGATAAAAGTCTTGACTGCGTTTTAGATGATGAAGCACTCGATCGATCTGAGAGTGTAAATTAGTAAGAATTACATCGTGGTTCTTAATCATGCCGAAGAGAGTTACAGCGATCGTTTATCGTTACATTTAAGAAGGTATATACAGTACGGCTATTCGTGGGTCGATCGTGCTGCTGACAATGCGTATCCGAGGTGTGTCGAATTCTTAAGACGGTATTCGGCAAGAAAACCGTTTTAGCTCGACAAAAAGATAGAGGAAATAGAGACCGTAAAAAAATTCCTTTCTATTTTTCACCGTTTTTTATTCTCGTTATTTTTCACATGGCTAGTTTAAATTCGTGTAATATCTGCGACGCAATGAAAAAATAATACAAATTCAAAAATAAATATAAGTAACATAAATAAATTGTGTAACATAATTATGCTTAAATTAGTAATTGTTCAATTGTCATGCGCATCCTGTAGGTTAAAAAAATTAGCGTCATAGACGGTAATAGGTACGTCTATATTTGATGTTAATAAACATCACAGCGACATTTTAACGTGTTACAATTTAAACAAATCGACATTTTTATGTCATTACATTTCTCATACGTTTTTTTATTTCAGAATTGTCCAAAATCTTTGCACATGTTACAAACATATCAATAAAGACGTATCATTGTAAAAAAAGATTCTTTTATTTATTTATAGCAAAAAGAGAAAAACTTATTATTGGTAACTACATCAATTTATTTTTACATTGTGACCTGATTTTTGCAAATTTAAATATAAAATGTATTGCGTAACATGTGCAATGTCAAAGAAATCCGAATAAAATACTTTCATTACGATCTTTTCAATCATCGATAGTTCTATCTTTCTCGCAATTAAATATTATTTAGTGATGATGAATAGAATATGACTTTGGACTTTTATGAGTTGGAATTTTGTTTCAAATAAAAAAAGTGCCTAGCAAAATTAGAATATAAGACATTTTAAAACAACTATAATTTGGGTATAGTCATCTAATTTTTTCTTTAAAGATCACTTGGAACGTTTTTATGATAACTATTATTAATAACATAATATACATTATAAATTGTTTCCCGATTTATTAATATTTGAAAACGTTATGAATAGATTTAGTCAAAATTTTTTAAAGTAAATAGAAACAAATATTAAAAATTTTAATTAATATAAGATTTTTTTTATTATATGTGGGTTTTCATGGAATTGCATACTTAGAAGTTTGTAAAGAATATTAAAAAAGAAAAAATATAAGAAGAAGAAATATGTTAAACAAAATATTAATTCAAAACAATTATGTTTTACAACAATTCATATTTTTTCGCCGCTATGATATGGAAATACTTCAGGTGACTATTTTTCAGAGTTAAGTCATTTTTAAGACGTCTTATTTCTGAGTTTTAACATGCATATTGTGTGTAGAGCGTTATTAAAATTTACACCAAAGCTACTTGGAGTTTAAATCAAATGTTACCCCATTTTATGGTACATTCCTTAAAAATATAACACCTTAAAAATAATACACCGTTACAACGTAACGTCGGTCACCGTCTCGCACTGCAGTTACACGCACCTTGGATTCCCTTGCTACGACACGATCGACCCACTCGTGATCGGAGATCTATGGAGACGTATACACGGATAGATCAGTACGATACGATTCTTTAATCACTTAAAGCTTAACGTTATCTTAGCGAGCACGAATATGCACGCATTGTCCTTCGCGCGTCATCCGCAACCGTGCTTTCCATCACCGGAAATCCGGAACACCATAGTTTCGCTTCCGTAGTGTTTTTTCCCGCATTCACATCAATCTGTCCTCTTAGCAGTATCACTCGACGTACCAGCTCCACGCAAAATCTTCCAGTTTTCACACGTTCAAATCGCACGTCGGATGCGCACTCGGACGCACGAATAATTCGGGGAATCACTAGACAGATCAGAGATAATGGCAAGTTGAAATATTCAGAGGTTTTAAACGCATGCGGATTTCGATCACCTGACTGAAATCATGACTGAAGTCATGGCATTGAAATCAGATGAAATCCGAGGATTAACACGCGCATCGAATTAATCGTATCCGTACAGTAACCATGTCGTCGCGAGTTTCCGTTTCCCCGCAATAAACTTTCCGTCACTTTCCGCGACCGATATATTTCCCGGGTCGACGCTGGTCGGATGCCGCAACTGAACGCCGGGCGGAACTTTATTCGAAGAACATTCCGGGCGCGTCAGCTGGTTGCGTTAACTGCGACCGCACAAGCCGACGTGATATAATCTCGATCATCTCGGACGGGAATGCAATTAATTTGATATACATTTGGAATGCGACAGATTAAAAGATCAAACCGTAACGATATCCTTAAGTAGAATTAAAAATAAATGTATCTGCATAAAAATAAAATCGAGTACAAAACCGAGCAGTTTTAATTTACCTGTGAGAGAAAATAATCGCGTGAACTCAAACAGAACAACGTGTCACAATAACGTCAAAATTACGTTAAAATAAATCGCGATTGATTGAAAAGTGATTTTTAATTTGACTCATTTATAACACCATCTTAACACCATTTTGATGTCACGATAACTTTTTGTTCAGCTCGGGAAATTAATATCTCTAATTAAACGGCTGGATATAACGAGCCACCTTAGCATAATGGTGAGAAAACATATCAGCTAAACTCCGTATCGACCACGCCAATATTTCCCTCTTGCGAACGACGGTACGTCGAGCTTGGTTATATAACTTATCGAGTCTATCATACACGCACACGGATACGCGACGGTCTCGTGGCCGTAGTTGAGGATCGACGACCCTCGGGCTCGTAAATTCGGTGTCCTGAGATGCAAATGGAACGCCCGAGCGAAACTGCGGGCGTCCTCCAAAGCTACGAATTCCGCATGACCCGGGCCCGCATTATTCAGAGATACTTCAGTGGCTTTTTCGTCCCTCGCGAAAGGCGAAAATCGATTATTGTCGTAGCCGATTTCGTTAGCTAGTCCCACCATAGTAGGCGGCGGGCACGTTTTTGAGGGAAATATTTATTCGACGAAACTTTCGCGCAAGAATCAACTCGAAAAAGCGTAAAAACCCCTGCGGCGAGAAAAATTGCCAGTCTTACAAGTAGTCCGCGAGAGAGACATACAATTTTTACAATAACAGATATATATTATAACGTTTTCTTCGTCCGCGCATTTATTTTCCTTCAGTATCCTTCAATAACAATAATAATAATAACAATAACGATAGCTTTAGTGATGTAGAGATAAAAAAATTAATCAGAGATATTTTACGTATTTTCAAAGATATAAAATAATTGCTCCCCTGCACACATTAAAATAAACAAAATTTAAAATATATTCTATGTTTTAAACTCAGTGTGTCTCAATATTCTATAATGGCAAAAGTAATGTTTTAATATAAAATATGAGATTGCAACATATACGATATGTGCATTTGCGATTGAAAAGAAATTGCATTCGAAAGCTGGTGACGCAAAAGTTTTCAAGGAGGTCGGAGTGCACATCCAGCGGCTTACGAGACATTCGTATGATGCGACGTATATAGGTACATACACACATATCTCGGAAGTTTGCGCGACCGAGGATAAGTACGGTGAACCTCAAAATATTTGTTCTCTTCGACGGAAGAAGCCATACCGCATCCGGTGACCAGAAATTGAGTGAAATTCCACGCAGTGGTTTTGCCGGCGCGACGTATGTGGGTCGCCTGGTTAGTCCGTCCGGACACGAAAACACGCTGGTTTTTACCTCTTGAAATCCACGACAGTCAGCTGCGTTCGTCAATAGATCTCCACGATCTACGCTATCTACGCGATCTAACGCGCCCGGGGAAAAGAAATGCTAATTCCGCTGTCGTGAATGTCGACATGAGAGAAATCATTCGTTCTCGTCTCACGAGAGACGTGTTAGAATGAAATCATTCGTCCTTTCGAACGTCGCTCGTTCTCAAGGAGAGAATTCGCCCTGTCGTCTAGTTTACACATTCCCGTATTCGCACGTCATCTCGGATCTACACATCGCTATTTTCGATCGTTGCAGCGTCGTACGGTGAGACATAGAACACGCGGGGCACGAAAGTTGCTTTAAGGAAACGTGAGCGCCGGACAAGGCCGGCCCCGTCGAGTTCGTGCTCCGGAAGCGAGAGCAAAGCCAGTGAAGCTCTCTTACACGCGGTTGCAGCTGTTAACGGTTGCCGCACATTGTCTTCTCTTTCTCTCCGCGCACTTTCCTACCCTGGCGAGTCGATCGCAATGCGGAAAGAAGCTCGAGTTGATTTATAGAGTCTGGTAGGTAGGTGATGGTTAGCGCGGATGGTGCTCCCGTCCGTCCTTCCCCTCCTGATCTCTCCTCTTTCGCACCATCCTCGTCGTCGCCCCGATCTTATTTGGGTGAAACTATCGGCCGTTACTCTCTTACTGCAGTGCCTCGTGATCGACCAGTCACCTCGCGAAGGAGCCGGCGTGCAGGAGCAACAGGAGCAACGCGAGCGTCCGCGTGGCCGCGCCGCTGTTGCTAGAGTTTCCGTGCTGCATGGCCGCCGGATGTTCCCCTGAAACCCAAGAAAACCGCATACATATAAATTATTTTGCAGACGGGGACTAGGCGGTCAGAGATGCGGCGAGTGGAAAATTTACATCACCGCCTGCGTTTTCCGCACTCTCTCTCTACCTTTATCTCTATCTTTCTACTTCTCTCCCTTCCTCCTACCCGTTTTCCGGCTTTCTCTTTTCTCTTTCATTTTCTCGAGAAACTTGTGGGCATGAGAAATATACGACACAATCCCATAACCTCCTATCTTCATTTTAATCACAGATATTTTCTCTGAATTTATAATAGACGGTTTCGGAAACAACAATATATGGAAAGAATAATTTTGCTGAAATATTTAAAAATTAGTTAGATTAAAAATTTAATTATTGAATTGTCATAATAATATAATACAAGACGCTCAAATTGATTGCTAGAATGTCAAGGTTTTACAAAATTGTTCTTATTATGCTTGAGTTTTCTACATAATTGTTTAGATAGCTCCAATAAGATTAATGTATTTTCAGATTTGTCTACCTTTTTAAAGTTTTAGCAAAACATTTATTTTCGTGTTGAATCTAGTTACGCAATATGTATTCATTTTATTGCCGGAAGCAATTAGAATAAATTTCTGCGTAATACGAGTATATATGCGTACCAATAATCAAAACAACTAACGGTTATTAGAATAATCACGAATAATTAATCATGATTGTGTAAAATTAGGACTGCATTAGATTGCACATTAATTATTGAAAGCAATAAATATTTGAAGATGTCACTATGGAAAGCAAACATGGAATTTCACGTACTAGATTGTACTACAATTCATAATAAATTTGAAGTAATGGTGTATCGGTAATCACTTTAAATACTTATAAGATTTTTAACTGATATTAATTGCTTATTATATCATCTTCAGAATGAATTGATTATCATTCATAAAAAATAATCCAGAAACCATAATCATATTTTAATCGCTTCAGTAAAGACGTAGATAGATCAATCAAATATGAATAACGACAGCATGATAAAATTCAAGAAGAAAAAAAACTAGTACTTTTATCGAATGGCTATGTGCGCTTTAATAGATATAAGACTTTCGTAAAATGTTCGTTCATAGGAGACGGAGTCAAATCCATCGTTGCCGTGTATCGATTTCAGATAAATCAAATATTTAAGCGGACACATTACGTTAGATATTGCAATAGCGCTGCTGTTTGTCCCCGATCTCGTTCGTAACAAACGATGAGATTCCCGAGAAACTGAGATTCCGTCCAAATGTTGACGCCGGCGGCGTTTCCACGTCGCATGTTTCTCAAAAGTTTGCAGTAACCAGTGCATTGATACGATTTGGTGCATTCGGTATAACGACGCAAACGCATAAACGTATGCAGCGTATATACGACACGTTAAAACTAACTTCCAATCTCTCCACTCGGGAGGTATATGGTAGATACCTGCGGAATTCCTTGGAGAACCTTAAGCGAGAACCCTCAGGTGCTGTATCGGTAATCACTTACTGAAGATGGTTCGAAGTTGCCATCGAACTACAAGAGTTCTTCCCGCAGTTTTTATGCGGGGACGAACGTAAGTGCCTTATTCTGGTACAATACTGAAGTTATTATTAATGCAGCACGTTGCGGGTATTGCAAAAGTTCATTATCATGGCGTGCGTTTCGAAGTATGCAGGGGTATTTAAGTGCGTTATTTATGCAGTTTCTTAGTAATATTAAATTACGACCACAAGCTTTTCCTCATTGCACGCAGGAGCGATTATGTCACCGCGATGAGTTTTCTTACTAAGGTTTGCACTAATGGGATTGAAGCATATATTTAATAAGAGCTTCGTGCTAACTGTTTTTAAAAGGAAAAATATAATAGAACATAACATCGAAATTATGATATAACTAATTAATGAAAATAAAATAATGAAGTAATTAATAAAAGTAATTCTTTTGGCCTATTCATTTAATTTATATGATGGAAGTATAAATGAAAAGAATGACATTGCTCTACACTGAAAAAAGATTGGCTGAATATGGCACAGCATTTTTAATTGGCTGTAGTAACCAATATTTTTCTTTCAATGTAATATCTACAAAAGATAGATATGAATCTGTGAACAAATAAATTTTTTTAACCAAAATAATCAGGTAAGAAACTTACGCATGACGAGATTCCTGCAAACAATTTTGACATTCTAATAACTAGTTTGAACATTCTAAATTATTTTAATAGCTAAACAAAATTATTTTCAGTATCATTTTGTACACTCATAAAAGAAGATATTTAAAAACGATAAGATGTTTAGTTTTTTCTCAATATTTTTTCTCGGCTAAGAAAAAAAATTAATACTTTTTAGTGTTTTTTAAATAGTTAAAACACTATAGTGTTTAAATTTAAAAACTAAAACATCTAATGCTAAAATATATTTTATTATTAAACCGTTAAACGTTTGTTTTGAAAAATATGTTTTAAATATAAGCATTCTAAGCATTGCATTTTTACAGTGCATTGTGTATTTAACTATATTTTTAGATACTTCAGCAAAATTGATATTTCCGTGTATTATTCGGGAAATAAATATCGTGTTTTCTAATGTCCATTTTTCACGATCGGCAGTAACATGAATAAAAAATGACTGACGAATCTTCATACACCGTGTATAAAGCAACAGCGTGTTTTCCCTCTTGAACAAATTCTCCGAGAGAAATTTATAACCGTCTATGTGTGCAACAGCTCGTTCGACGCTGATCGAGCTCGAGAGAGCACGCCAAAATTTGACCAGAGATTGATGTAAGACATTGCGCGGTAAAGATCAACGAAAAGAATCAAACGGTGTTCGTACTCGAGCTCGAATTTCTTTCACCTCCGTACAGCGCCCCCTACACAACCTATCTCCTTCCCTTGCGCATTCATCCAAAGGGGATGGATTTCTGCACTAGAACGTATTTTTTCCTCTCTGCCAACGTCCGCCTGAAACGCGAGCTAATTTACGACTCGCAATTCGACGAACGACTGCACGGCCGCAAGAACCGCTCATTTTTCAGCGAAAACGAGCATCAGCGTCTCGGGAAAAAAAAGAAAGAGAGAGAGGGAAGAAAGGAAAGGAGAAAAGAAAGCGACTCTTGAAACGATGGCCCGGGGAAGTAAATCGACAGCAAGAGAAGGGATGAAATTGCCATAGGTTTTTCAATGAAAGACATCATCGATGATACACTCCACACTTTTAGAGATGCTGTTAACGCGGCGAGATGTGGCACAGAGTACTTGCGTAGATTCAAAATGCATGCCGTGAGTCGTTGTACAGTATGTGAGATTTTAATTAATATGGAGAGAGAGAGAGAGAGAGAGAGAGAGAGAGAGAGAGAGAGAGAGAGAGAGAATATGCATAGGATCACATTTTTCGATCATTGTTTCCTTTTATAATACTATCTAGTACTGTTTTTCGTTTTCTTTATGGAGATCTTGAAAACCCCACCACACAATCTGTAGGGCAGACTATAGCTAAAACTCCAGGTATGCGGTGAGCAGCGGCAAACCCATGCCTACATGGAGTCTTAGCTTATATCTTTCCTATCTACTGATAGACATGCAGCATTGAACTGCAATAAGGGCAACTTCAACGTGAGAGAGGCCCGTTTATACGAGACATAAAGCTATCATAACCCGCCAGTAATCTCGTGTGAATAGTTCTTTTTCTGGGGCCTAACGCAATAGCTATAGTGTACTCGAAGTTTGATAATTTCTGTCTCCACAATTATTAAATATGTATTTCATTTTAATAAGTATATACAATAGAGTTCAAAATGCCGTTTTCGTCACATTACACACGGTATAATTTGTCAGGATTATCTGGGTTTCAGTAAAGTACTACAAACACAGTGGAAGAATACATGTGAAACAACTTGTGGAATGTCAAGTGGAACTCAGTAACGAACTGCTGCCTGTAAATATGCGTTTACCGATTATATTTACATATATATAAAATTTTTGTTAAAATGGCCACAAAATTGCCACAGGTTACCACATGTACTCTTATAATGGTTGAATCTACTTTGAATATAATATTCTGATAAAAATAACATGAGGTTGATACAAGCAGTTTAACGTCATATATTTGGAAAACTTAAACAATAAATGAAACATACGAATAATGAAAAATTGTTTGTCTAAAATATGCTTTCATCATTTGTTTTAAATACAATTAAGATTATTACATAGAGAACTCTAATAATAAAAGTTGTGCACGACGTTATGTCGACGATCATGCGTATGGTACTTATACACGCACAGATCTCTCGTGCAGCATGGCAACGGAGGTTCTGCGTTGTCATCTCAAAACATGGAGTTTTAGGCGAGGTGACACTCGAGTCTGTGAAGATCGAGCCCTTCGACTTAAAACGCATTAACACGCGCCCGTCGCGTTTACAGAACGCCAAACAAAGGACACGCCATTTAGTTAGGAGCTCCGTTCTTCCGATGGAAAAATTCATTCGTCCGGTGATCGTGTCACCATTCATTTCGTTCAGTCTTCCGAGATCCGAGCCGGTCTTCTTAAGCCTTGTTGTGCATATTTCCTTGCTTGAGGACAGTTCGCTGCCTCTGAGCTTGATCGCGTTCAGACGATTCAAGGTATCGTTAGCCCCTAGGCATTGTCGTCAGTGCGCATATATACGAAATTAGTTTCTTTCGCGTTTCATTCGCGCGACATCATTTCGTACGCGACATATGTATATTTGTGAATAGTGTAATATAATAACTGCAAATAAACTGTAAAAAAAAGGCGAAAAGACGATAGTGACATTAATTTATTCCTCTCCACAATCTAAAGATAATTACACAAAATTAATATAAGTTAATTTCGACAGACTGTGTCACTCCATAATTTGAGAAACAGAAGCGTGTAAAATATTTGTTTTTATGATCTTTATGTTTACCAATGTTTATATTCATCAAAATATATAAACTGCTTAATCTAATTATTTTTGAACATTTGTGACGTACCCTTCCTGAACG